GCATGGCATGGCATGGCATGTAATGGGGCTGGCACGGTATGGCATGTAATGGGGCAGGCACAGCACGGCATGGCATGGCATATAATGGGGCTGGCACAGCACGGCATGGCATAGCATGTGATGGGACTGGCACAGCACTGCATGGCATGGCATGGCATGTAATGGGGCTGGCATGGCACAGCACAACACAAGGCTGCCACAGCCTGTCTGGCTTGGTATAGCTTGGCACAGCCCAGCATAGCACAGTCTGGCATAGCATGGCATGGAATAGCACACCCTGGGGCTGGCACAGGGCTGGCATAGTCTGCCTGGCTCAACACAGTCTGGCATGGCACAATCCAACACAGCACAGCTTGGCATGATATGGTACAACATGACCTGGCCTGGTTCAGCATGGCACAGCACAGCCCAGCCCTGCAGTCTATAGTGCAAAGCCCAGCACGGCTCAGTGTGGCATGGCACAGCTCAGTGGGTACCCCCACCCCAATGAGGAGGAGAGGAAGGGCACACAGGGAGGCAGGAGGTGCCAGGGGACCCTCTGTGCCCCTACCCTGGCCATGCCCACGCTGTCCCAGCACAGGGACACTCCTGCCACACAAGGGGCCACTTTCTGCAGGAACAAGGGCACTCTGTGATCAGCCCTCGGTGCCACCCGGCGCCACCGTCCCAGGGTCACCCGCCCCATCACACTGGTGTCCCAGTGCCACCACACTGCTGCCTCACTGGGGCTTTGTTCACGGAGCGGGGAACAAGTCACGCTGGGGATGAGCACAACAGTCAAGTTCAGGAACACACACCCACCCAAAAACTGGGACAACCCCAACCTTGGAACAGCTACTGGAGATTCGCTCAGTTACAGGCAGAGGATCAAAAACACACTGTGAAGTTTACTAAAAAAAAAAAACTAAAAACCCCCAAAACCCCAAGACTCATTTTTCACTTACCTTGCACTTCTCGCCACTGCTGGGGCACGTGGCACAGCCGCAGGGCTGGCTGCATCCCGGCAGCCTTGCTGGCAGAAAAGGGGGATATTTTACTTGCTTTCTCTTTTGTTTTTGGTAAAAGTGAGGTATGTACTCATTTCTCAAGTTCTGCCCTGCCTGGGAACGACAGCCCTTCGGCACACTCTTAGCAGAAGAGGAAACACGGGGTGCAAGGAGCTGTGAGAAGCACCGAGGCTGCCACCGAGCCCGAGAGGGACACTCGTTGTGTGCTGGGACATTGGGCAGCCAGGACAGGCAGCACAGTCCCAGATCCAGTGTGGGACACGCTGGGTGGTCGATGCTGGGGTGGCTGCTGGCGGCGCTGGCGGCGCTGGCGCAGGGCGGTAAGTGCTTCTGCGGTGGTGGGAGATGAGAGATAACTTCAGAAGACTTTCAGTGAATGATTTGGGGGTGATAAGACCCAGGGAGCTGGTGTTGTGATGGAGATGCTCACCCAAAACCACAGGGATGGAGTAGAGATAGTGACTCCTCGCCGGCGGAGGGTGGGAGATGAGGTGAGCGGCACCGGCCAGTGCCTGGGAGGGGGAAATGGGGGGTTTGGGGTGACAATTGCTCATCAAGCTGCTCTGATCCCCCAGTTGAGCAACGTGGTGATCAGGCAACAACTATGTTGCTGTGTCCTCCATTCGGGGTGCAGGAGA